AGCTCATATGCGCCATCTTTTTCCTTCTGTGTGGTGCATGCAGGAGACTGTTTGAAGTCCTCGGGCAAGTCCTGTGAGTGCAGTCTAAATGCCAGGGTAAGTCCTGGGTGCTGGGGCAAGTCCTGTGAGTGCAAGTGCAATCCCAGTGTTGGGTAAGTTATGGTTGCTCGGGTAAGTCGTGTGAGCACAATCTCTTTGCTGGGAATTGGTGTAACATTTTTTATGGGCTGGTTTTTATCCCCAGTCCAGCACTGATATGGTGTGATGTCCCAATGTTATGCTTGTAAAAAGGTGTGATTATCAATGTTGTGTTTGCAATAAGGTTTAATGGCCTGTGTTGCTTGTGATAAGGTGTGATATGCTTGTACTATGCTTGCAATATGGTGACAAGCATTCTACTGGCACATCACCAGCATCACGCAAGTCTAAATATGTGTGTGTCAATATATTTGTGTTCGGGGCAACATTGATTATGATATGAAGTAAGATTGTTGTTAGCAAACCTGTGATAGGAAAAAGTTGATTGAGGTGTGCCGAAACCATAGTATGCTGTAGGCCAGTAAATAAAGAGGGCCTACACTAGAAAAGTATGGTGAATAAAGGGAGTGGAGGGTGGGGCAGCATTGTCAGACCAAGCACGGTAGGGTAGGGAAGGGGGGAGTCCCTTTTAAAGGTCCTTAAGCCCCTCCCACAACTTCAGGCCAAGCCTTCCAATATATATGATTTGAGGTTGACAACAGATTATTACTGACATTATTGGGAAAGCATTGTATATGGAGCTTTGCTATTTCACGTGTATGAGTTCTCCTTGCAATGATTTCATTTAGTCCAAAGGGGTTTGAGTGACTACAGGAAGCCTCAGGAACTTTCAATTCCTTTTTATTAATTTTTTTTTATGGAAAGGATTAGGAAACAAAATTTAATGCTAAGATATGTTTCTTTAGTTTAATTTTACATGGTGGAGAACGTATATAGGAGTCATGCTATGTACAGCACCTTTAAAGACGTAAAATGAGTTCCATCAAGGTTTTATTTTTCTTCAGAATGTGATACAGCATTTTTAGTCAAAATCTCCTTTGTGTAGTATGCTCACTATGGAAATACAGACAACAGTGCCAACTTAGAAGAGGCGTACATGCAGTTAGAGAGAGAAACTGACTTGAATTGCAAATAGCCCGGTGCGTATTATCGTACATGGTGTGTTCAAAATTGTAGCATGCCTACTCTACATGGACTTGGTGTACTTACCTGCCAAAGCCTAAAATATCTGATAACAAAATGCATGTATGAATATAAACTGACAGAAAACGGACACGGTAAATGACAGATTATGAAGTGGGTGTGTTTACCTGGTCAGAAAACGTGACGTGAAAATAGATAGATAGTGATAGGATGACTAACAATTCGCACAGTGCATGTACATTACAGACAGAGAGTGACATGGTAAATAACAGATCACAGAGTGAACTTTACAGACATGACACAATAGGTGGGAATGCAAGGTATATTTATTTCCAAACGCAAGCAGTAAATAATGCAGGAGGTGCTGCCTGGAACAAGAGCAAACTCAATAAATAATAAATAAATCAGTCACTGCTTAGTCTAAATAGTAAAGTGCTTCCTAAGGAAAAATATATAATACACCAAAAATAGGCACACATAATACAATATGTACTAATACTGTCTAGATCCCTCATCAGAAAAAAAATCAACAGTTAATCAGATGGGAAGAAGTAGATAAGGGCTTTATTAAAGGGACACTATCGGCACCCAAGTCCAATATATATAGGAGATATAAAGCAGGAAAAGGATTTTGGTGCAGTATAGCAATACAATAATGTAAATGATTAAAAAAAATAAATAAATAAAAAAGGATCCCACTTACAATCTCCAGAGCTAGTATTATCCTCACCAGCAATATCAGGATACAACCAGACCAGGACATGTGATGACCAGTTAAAAATAAAATAAAAAGGGGAATGTATATATATATATATATATACACACATACATATAACAACAGGGCCGGACTGGCCCACCGGGATACCGGGAAATTTCACGGTGGGCCGTCGGCACCTGGGGCCGGGCAGTCAGCTGGCTCACCTGCGACCGCAGAGGGAGCTCCTTTGGCGGCCGCAGGGTTTGCTGGCTGTTCTTGCGACCGCAGGGGGAGCTGGCTGTTGTGTCTCTGCTCACCCTCCCCTGCGCGCCGCTTAATGAGACCGGGGCCGGAATATGACATCATATTACAGCCCCGGTCTCATTAAGCGGCGCGCAGGGGAGGGGGAGCAGAGACACAACAGCCAGCAAACCCTGCGGCCGCCAAAGGAGCTCCCTCTGCGACCGCCAGAAGAGCTCCCCACAGGTAGAAATTGTGTATGTGTGTGTATGTGTGTCTGTGTCATTTGTGTGCGTGTCTGTCTGTCTTGGTGTGTGAGTGTCTGTCTGTGTCAGCAATGTGTGTCTGTGTCATTGTTTGTGTCTCTTAGTCATGGTGTGTGTGTGTCTGTGTCATAGTGTGTGTCTCTGTGTCATAGTGTGTGTCTCTGTGTCATGGTGTGTGTGTCACTGTCTGTCATGGTGTGTGCGTCTGTGTCATGCAATGTGTGTCTGTCATGGTGTGTGTGTGTCTGTCATGTAATGTGTGTCTGTCTGTGTCACGGTCTGTGTGTGTCATGGTGTGTGTGTTTGTCTGTGTCATGTAATGTGTGTCTGTCTGTGTCACGGTGTGTTTGTGTGTCACGGTCTGTCTGTGTCGTGGTGTGTGTGTCACGGTCTGTCTGTGTCATGGTGTGTCTGTCTGTGTCATGGTGTGTGAGTGTGTTTGTCTGTGCCATGTAATGTGTGTCTGTCTGTGTCACGGTGTGTGTGTGTCTGTGTCACGGTCTCTCTGTGTCGTGGTGTGTATGTCTGTGTGTCACGGTCTGTCTGTGTTATGGTGTGTGTGTGTGTCAAGGTGTGTGTCTGTCATGGTGTGTGTGTGTGTGTGTCTGTCTGTCATGGTGTGTGTGTGTGTTTCCGTCTGTGTCACGGTCTGTCTGTGTCATGGTGTGTGTCTGTCATGGTATGTGTTTTTGATGTAAACACTGACTTTTAAGAGAAAAGGCAGTGCTTACATTGCTTCCTAGTGACAGACACTCAGACGGTCACTAGAGGTGCTTCCTGTGTCAGTGCGGATTGGCTGAGATCATCAAGCTTGATGATCTCAGCTGTAGAGGCATGGCCAGGCGAGGGGAGACCAGGATGACGTGGGAAAAAAAAAGTGAGTAAAAACACATACACACACATACCATGACAGACACACACCATGACACAGACAGACCGTGACACAGACAGAAACATACACACACCATGACAGACACACACCTTAAAAAAGACACACACACCATAACACAGACAGACCGTGACACACAGACACACAAACCATGACACAGAAAGACAGTGACACAGACACACACACATTACATGACACAGACAAACACACACACACACCATGACACACACAGACCGTGACACAGACAGACACACATTACATGACAGACACACACACACACCATGGCATAGACACACATTGCATGACACAGACAGACGCACACACCATGACTAAGAGACACAAACAATGACACAGACACACATTGCTGACACAGACAGACACTCACAGATGTCCTGACGAAAGCTTGAGGGGATCAAGCTGAAACGTTGACCTTGTGTTTTAGTGGAGGTAATAAAAGTTATATTTTATATTAGTCCTTGGAGTGCTATCTCTGGCAATATTTTTTGCATTTTTGGCTGACAAGCACCGGGCATTGAATATTGAATTGGTGGAGTGCAAGATCCGTTTTTTTTTTTTATATTTTATATATATATATATATATATATATATATATATATATATATATAGATATTTTACCCCTTTCTTGCTTGCTCTAGATAAGCGTGGTACTGGAAGATATTTTACCCCTTTCTTGCTAGCTATATACATAAGCATGGTACTTGAAGATATTTTACCCCTTTCTTGTTTGCTGTATTTAAGTATGGTACTGGAAGATAATTTACCCTTTTCTCGCTGGCTATACATAAGCGTGGTACTGGAAGATATTTTACCCCTTTCTTGCTTGATATATATATATATATATATATATATATATAATCTCAATCATCTAGGGTTGCAAGACATAGCCTTACATATTACATGCGACAATATATGGCGCAATGACTTAAGGGGCTGGCATAGATTTTTTTTCCAGGGCTGCTTTGGAATCCCCAGTCCGGCCCTGTATAACAAGCTTTATTAAAACAATAAATATAAACTATATTTTACGCCTTTCTTGCTTGCTATATACATAAGCGTGGTACTGGAAGATATTTTACCCCTTTCTCGCTTGCAATAGATAAGTGAGGTACTGGAAGATATTTTACCCCTTTCTCGCTTGCTATATACATAAGCGTGGTACTGGAAGATATTTTACCCCTTTCTCGCTTGCCAAATACAAGTGTGGTACTGGAAGATATTTTACCCCTTTCTTGCTAGCTATACATAAGCGTGGTACTGGAAGATATATACAGCAAGCGAGAAAGGGGTAAAATATCTTCCAGCACCATGCTTATGTATAGCAAGCGAGAAAGGGGTAAAAATCTTCCAGTACCTCACTTATAAGTTTGGTACTGGAAGATATTTTACCCATTTCTTGCTTGCTATAGATAAGTGAGGTACTAGAATATATTTTACCCCTTTCTCGCTTGCTATAAGGGTGGTGCTGGAAGATATTTTACGCCTTTCTTGCTTGCTATATATAAGTTTGGTACTGGAAGATATTTTACCCCTTGCTTGCTTGCTATAGATAAGTGAGGTACTGGAAGATATTTTACCCCTTTCTCGCTTGCTATATATGTGTGGTACTGGAAGATATTTTACCCCTTTCTCGCTTGCTATATATGTCTGGTACTGGAAGATATTTTACCCCTTTCTCGCTTGCTATATACATAAGCGTGGTACTGGAAGATATTTTACCCCTTTCTCGCTTGCTGTATATATCTTCCAGTACCAAACTTTATATATAAGTTTGGTACTGGAAGATATATACAGCAAGCGAGAAAGGGGTAAAATATCTTCCAGTACCACGCTTATGTATATAGCAAGCGAGAAAGGGGTAAAATATCTTGCAGTACCTCACTTATCTATAGCAAGCAAGAAAGATGTAAAATATCTTCCAGTACCATACTTATATACAGCAAGCGAGAAAGGGGTAAAATAAGTGTGGTACTGGAAGATATTTTATCCCTTTCTCGCTTGCTATATATAAGTATGGTACTGGAAGATATTTTACCCCTTTCTTGCTAGCTATACATAAGCGTGGTTCTGGAAGATATTTTACCCCTTTCTCGCTTGCTGTATATAAGTGTGGTACTGGAAGATATTTTACCTCTTTCTCGCTTGCTATACATAAGCGTGGTACTGGAAGATATTTTACCCCTTTCTCACTTGCGGTATATAAGTGAAGTACTGGAAGATATTTTACCCCTTTCTCGCTTGCTAAATACAAGTGTGGTACAGGAAGATATTTTACCCCTTTCTCGCTTGCTATATATGTGTGGTACTGGAAGATATTTTACCCCTTTCTCGCTTGCTATAAGCGTGGTACTGGAAGATATTTTACCCCTTTCTCGCTTGCTATATATGTGTGGTACTGGAAGATATTTTACCCCTTTCTCGCTTGCTATATATGTGTGGTACTGGAAGATATTTTACCCCTTTCTCGCTTGCTCTATACAAGTGTGGTACTGTAAGATATTTTACCCCCTTCTCGCTTGCTATATACATAAGCGTGGTACTGGAAGATATTTTACCCCTTTCTCGCTTGCTGTATATATCTTCCAGTACCAAACTTTATATATAAGTTTGGTACTGGAAGATATATACAGCAAGCGAGAAAGGGGTAAAATATCTTACAGTACCACACTTGTATAGAGCAAGCGAGAAAGGGGTAAAATATCTTACAGTACCACACTTGTATAGAGCAAGAAAGGGGTAAAATATCTTCCAGTACCACCCTTATGTATATAGCAAGCGAGAAAGGGGTAAAATATCTTCCAGTATCATGCTTATGCATATAGCAAGCGAGAAAGGGGTAAAATATCTTCCAGTACCACCCTTATGTATATAGCAAGCGAGAAAGGGGTAAAATATCTTCCAGTACCATACTTATATACAGCAAGCGAGAAAGGGATAAAATATCTTCCAGTACCACACTTATATTCAGCAAGCGAGAAAGGGGTAAAATACCTTATTTTACCCCTTTCTCGCTTGCTGAATATAAGTGTGGTACTGGAAGATATTTTATCCCTTTCTCGCTTGCTGTATATAAGCGTGGTACTGGAAGATATTTTACCCCTTTCTTGCTAGCTATATACAAGTTTGGTACTGGAAGATATTTCACCCCTTTCTTGCTTGCTATATACAAGTTTGGTACTGGAAGATATTTTACCCCTTTCTTGCTTGCTCTAGATAAGCGAGGTACTGGAAGATATTTTAGCCCTTTCTTGTTTGCTGTATTTAAGTATGGTACTGGAAGATAATTTACCCTTTTCTCGCTGGCTATACATAAGCGTGGTACTGGAAGATATTTTACCCCTTTCTTGCTTGCTGTATATAAGTGAAGTACTGGAAGATATTTTACCCCTTTCTCGCTTGCTATATACATAAGCGTGGTACTGGAAGATATTTTACCCCTTTCTTGCTTGCAATAGATAAGTGTGGTACTGGAAGATATTTTACCCCTTTCTTGCTCTTGATAAGCGAGGTACTGGAAGATATTTTACCCCTTTCTCGCTTGCTGTATATAAGTGTGGTACTGGAAGATATTTTACCCCTTTCTTGTTTGCTGTATTTAAGTATGGTACTGGAAGATAATTTACCCTTTTCTCACTGGCTATACATAAGCGTGGTACTGGAAGATATTTTACCCCTTTCTTGCTTGCAATAGATAAGTGTGGTACTGGAAGATATTTTACCCCTTTCTTGCTAGCTATACATAAGTGTGGTACTGGAAGATTTTTTACCCCTTTCTTGCTTGCTCTTGATAAGCGAGGTACTGGAAGATATTTTACCCCTTTCTCGCTTGCTGTATATAAGTGTGGTACTGGAAGATTTTTTACCCCTTTCTTGCTTGCAATAGATAAGTGTGGTACTGGAAGATATTTTACCCCTTTCTTGCTTGCAATAGATAAGTGTGGTACTGGAAGATTTTTTACCCCTTTCTTGCTAGCTATACATAAGTGTGGTACTGGAAGATATTTTACCCCTTTCTCTCTTGCTATATACATAACCGTGATACTGGAAGATATTTTACCCCTTTCTTGTTTGCTGTATTTAAGTATGGTACTGGAAGATAATTTACCCTTTTCTCACTGGCTATACATAAGCGTGGTACTGGAAGATATTTTACCCCTTTCTTGCTTGCAATAGATAAGTGTGGTACTGGAAGATATTTTACCCCTTTCTTGCTAGCTATACATAAGTGTGGTACTGGAAGATATTTTACCCCTTTCTTGCTAGCTATACATAAGTGTGGTACTGGAAGATTTTTTACCCCTTTCTTGCTTGCTCTTGATAAGCGAGGTACTGGAAGATATTTTACCCCTTTCTCGCTTGCTGTATATAAGTGTGGTACTGGAAGATTTTTTACCCCTTTCTTGCTTGCAATAGATAAGTGTGGTACTGGAAGATATTTTACCCCTTTCTTGCTTGCAATAGATAAGTGTGGTACTGGAAGATTTTTTACCCCTTTCTTGCTAGCTATACATAAGCGTGGACCTGGAAGATATTTTACCCCTTTCTTGCTAGCTAAATACAAGCGTGGTACTGGAAGATATTTTACCCCTTTCTCGCTTGCTATATACAAGTCTGGTACTGGAAGATATTTTACCCCTTTCTTGCTAGCTATATATAAGTTTGGTACTGGAAGATATTTTACCCCTTTCCCGCTTGCTATATATGTGTTGTACTGGAAGGTATTTTACCCCTTTCTCGCTTGCTGTATACAAGTCTGGTACTGGAAGATATTTTACCACTTTCTCGCTTGCTGTATATAAGTATGGTACTGGAAGATATTTTACCCCTTTCTCGCTTGCTATACATAAGCGTGGACCTGGAAGATATTTTACCCCTTTCTTGCTAGCTAAATACAAGCGTGGTACTGGAAGATATTTTACCCCTTTCTCGCTTGCTATATACAAGTCTGGTACTGGAAGATATTTTACCCCTTTCTTGCTAGCTATATATAAGTTTGGTACTGGAAGATATTTTACCCCTTTCCCGCTTGCTATATATGTGTTGTACTGGAAGGTATTTTACCCCTTTCTCGCTTGCTGTATACAAGTCTGGTACTGGAAGATATTTTACCACTTTCTCGCTTGCTGTATATAAGTATGGTACTGGAAGATATTTTACCACTTTCTCGCTTGCTGTATATAAGTATGGTACTGGAAGATATTTTACCCCTTTCTCGCTTGCTATACATAAGCGTGGACCTGGAAGATATTTTACCCCTTTCTTGCTAGCTAAATACAAGCGTGGTACTGGAAGATATTTTACCCCTTTCTCGCTTGCTATATACAAGTCTGGTACTGGAAGATATTTTACCCCTTTCTTGCTAGCTATATGTAAGTTTGGTACTGGAAGATATTTTACCCCTTTCCCGCTTGCTATATATGTGTTGTACTGGAAGGTATTTTACCCCTTTCTCGCTTGCTATATACAAGTCTGGTACTGGAAGATATTTTACCCCTTTCTCGCTTGATATATACAAGTTTGGTACTGGAAGATATTTTACCTCTTTCCCGCTTGCTATAATATGTGTTGTACTGGAAGGTATTTTAAATATGTTGGATTTAAACACGATGCTTTGTGGGCGCAGTATGTCACTTTGTTATTTAATTCTTTATGCGCTGAAGGTGGTAAGGGGCACGAGCGAGGTGGGAACAGACGGCACTAGAGTGTTAGGACTACAACTTTGTATTCCTAACACTTTAGTTTTCCTTTAATGGAAGATTCATTTACTATTTATCATGTTATATGTACTAGGTTTCTTACGCAGCTATTATAGCTGCTATTACAAGATTGCCTTATTTGACTTTCGCTTAGCTAAGTTAGCATACACATTGATGCTCCCTGCTGGGCCTGTTAACGCCATGATTTATCGACCTGTATGTTACTCATTTGTCACCTGAATTACTTAGGGCCATTTTGAGCCTTAACATCCTCACTAAAGACACTAAAGAATACTTCATATGGCTTGAATTTTTCATCTATTTTTTTTTTTTTCATCAACAAGACCCAAAAGCGTCCTTTGTTCTCAATGAAAGAATGATTGAGTGCTCAGTTTGAGAAGAATTAGAGTTTGTTTGCTGGCAATATGTATGCTCTGAGGAAAATTACTTTTTAGATTACGATTTTTTGTAGTCTTATTGATTTTGGTGGTGTTGCAGCAGCCAGATAACAGAACAAACATAAAAGGAAGCGTCTCGAATGGAAGTCATATTTTTTCATAGGATAGATGAGGTAAATTGCTTAGTTCTTTCAGAGGACATAAACCGGGGCACTTTTACATTTTCTAATAGGCTGCATAAAATTGCTTCTTAAATAGTTAGTGCAGAATAAAATTGCAAGATAAATGTGTATGTGCTTTATCATTTGTATACCATTCTAAAATGAACTAAATCTAAAATTAAATAATATGAAGTTTAATTTCTACTTGTAAAAGGTAGCTGCTGTTCCAATCATTGTTTCTATTTAATTTGACGGACTATACCAATGTTTTTATTCATACAATTATCAGTAATAATATAGGTTTCTACTTTTGAGGATAGATTGTAGAAGCAATGCAGGGGTTAATTAAAGGTCTCTAGCAAAATGTCTATATATATATAATATCCCATTTTAGCAAAAGTGGACAGTTTCGGGAAGGATGTGAAATAAGCCATTTTGGCAAAGCGGTTCACTACAACCAATATAACAATATCACACATAGAGGATGGTGTGACCACAATGAAATCCACTGATGTGACCAAAAGACAGAAGGTTTGTAGTAAACTGCATGACAACCAACCT